AAGGATACAGGTATAATTCACTGGGTTCTTCGGATTCCGAATCACTGCCCTGCAAGATAAACTATTACACAAGTGCTGTATTTCGAAAGATCAAACCCACAAAACCATAACGAACTTGAGTCTCTTAGCGACTCCTTACCCTATTGTTGCTAGTTTGCTGGCAGTTGTCAGCTCGGATGTCGCACAGAGTACTGATGCCCCAAATGTTTTTATCGCAATTTACCCATAAAAATCAACTTTTGCTATTTTCAAGTGTTTCGTACTGCAACAACGGCGCAAGACGCATGTAAGTTAAACTCTGGGAGTGTGTATACGAATTTTTGCTCGGAATTTTGAAGTCAGCAACTGGAAAAGCTAAAAAGCTGAAGCTCTGTCCATGTGCGGTCCTGCAGATTTAAACCTCACTTGGTGCACGACTGGGTTTACATGCAGATGAAATTTCACGTGAGAAATTTTCTAGTTTGGAAACTTGGAAAGATACAAAGCTAGAAATTTGGGACCTATCAATTCGAGACCTTGAAAATTTACATCTAGCACCCAAGCAAGTCTGCATCTCACATGCGAATAAGTGGAATTCCAGACAGGAAGTTATTAACATTTTTCTAGCTCCACTGGCCAAGATTACGTAAAACGTCCTGCTTCAATGATGCTTTACCCACACTTGAAGCTCCCGGATCGAATTTTGTAAGAAACTTCCCACTTCTGCAGTAGTGAAGACTCATCTTTTAAATCCCAGTAAAAAGAGACTCCGCTTCCTGCAACGGCATGCAGGTGTATGGCTAAGGAAAATAACTGAAGCTCACGTATAAATCGTTTTCATCATTAGTTCCTGTACGCACTGATGCGGCGCATTCTTTGGATTCACGTTTCACAAAATCTGTTATATGCAGGTCCACTTCTTTTGGACTCTAAATCAAAGCCTTCATTATATGAACAAAACAACAGAAGGTGCGAATATACCTTTGCATAATTCGAATTCTGGGAATATAATAATTTCGGATCTATAATTTTCAGAATTTCGTCCCCTCCCCTTTTCGACCGTGCAGCGCCACATAGACCAAAGTGAGTTTGACGATTTTTTCACGTCCTAAGCCACGCATGCTGTGTTTGAAACCAGCTTTCAAAACTTATCGCACTCTCCTCGTTAAAATTCATTTCTTTCGCAAGCTGCAAAAGGCCCTAGTGAAACGCTTATCCCAAAGAATCGACTAACTTATAATCCCTTCAGAAGCCGAAACGAATGCTATTAGGGCCAGCAAGTCGTTCACCAACTGTGTAGTTCTTGTGATGACCTTACCAGCACGATGGTTGCGTGATAAATAAATTCAGGGAAATAACAGATAAAAAAAAAAAAACAGGAAAAAGATGGAAAAAAGACGGCCAGAACAGGGACTGTGGCACAGAGGAAGTGTTTTTAACAAAAGTAGTAGCAAAACACAAAAGTCTTACCTCACACCTCTTTTCTTCCGACCACTTCAAATTTGCTAGAGACTTGCTTCGCTCTTCCTGTCAATAGGAAGAATGTGAAACCAAGCAATCGACAGGCAAAAGTGAAATTCGATTGGACAAAAGTAAATCCTAGATAATAAAGTCAAAAATGGAGAAGGGAAAGAAGACAGGAAAACATTTTAAAAAAATTTTTTTAGAAAGCATCCCCAAATAAGCAGATTAAGTGCAAATATATTGGAATTTATACAGAGGAAATATGGAAGAAGAGAAACATAAAAACCTCGAGTCTGATCCCGTGATATTTGGCTGACACTTCGCTAAGTAAATCTCAAATTCCCCGCTATAAATTCTAAAACGCTCTCACTGAGTAGAAACACACTCACATCGAATGTTGTGGTATCCTCGACCAGCGTTTCCTCAATATTCGGGTCGCTTTTTAACGCACGTCTTTCCTCAGCTAATTGCCTGAACGCCTGAAAACTAGGTAATGCCACATAAAGAATATTGCTATCGTATTCTTCATTTGTTCACGAATCTGCATGTTATGAGTAGTCACGGGAGCGAGAGCTGGATATGATGAAGAGAACAGCGGATATCATTTTCTTGGAATGTCTTTTCGCGACCACATAGGCAATATAATTTTCAGTCAGATCAGCGGAATGTTGGATATCACTATGACCACGCGAGAAAGTAAAATTCGATGAGCAGGGCACATTGTTTGCTTTGCTGACAGCTGGGAAAAAAATCGCATACCAGTGAGTGGTAAGCCACTACAACGACGATTTCCAAAGAGGTGGCGTACATACACCCAACAGGCGGTGGGTGCTGATTGGAAGTATGCAATCCTCGAGCGAAGTACCGGGTGGCAAAGCTGCACTCGGCGTGTGGGGGCTAAGAAAGCAGCTGCCTAACTCTCGCCATAAGCAGTACAAATGATCTGTGTTATGAATTTTCTAAATGAAATATGTTAAATAGCTCGATGGTTGCCAACCTTCATGCTCGAAGACAGCCTCGGAGGCTTCAGGAAAGCATGATCGCCGCCTCGGAAGTCGCTTTTTCCAGGAGTCCCCGACAAACGTGACTGAAAGAATTAAAATATGTAAAACTGCTCTTAATTTTTTGTTATTCTTTCTGCTATTCTCATAAAACTGCTTTTAATTTAAAAGTATTAAATTCTTAGTCCTTTATGCGTTTTGTGCTGTGTAACAGCAGTACACCCCGGCTGGAAAGCACCAGGCTTGCCGGTGCGATCATGTGTTTTTGCTCTAAACTCGCAAGTCACTAACAGCAGGGATGAACTTTACGCTGTAGCCTAACAACTGGGCTCATATTGGCCATGCTTTGGCCCCTTCCGGCATACAAGAGAAAGGGCATCGGTTAGAATGAAGGTGGTGCACTGCAGACCCGCATGGACCTCCAGGGTACATGATTAGCAGTTTCTTGCATAAAGCCCGGTCGTTTTTTCGGTAAACGCTCGCCATCTGAAAAAATGAAAAATGCAAATTTTTTGAAAAAATGCAAATTTCCAGTTCACTAAAAAGTGAAAATGCTGTTAGAGATGTTGTTCGTCAAAATATCCAAAAATGCAAAATGAATGCTCATTTACATATTTGGATGAGGACGCTGCAAAACGCACTCGTTTATGATTTTTCGGTAAAGTTGAGTATTTCTCACATCCACCTGCAGGGAATTTCACCTCCAAGCAAAATTAAGACCGCACTTAAAATATCCCAGCGAATTTTCAGCCTCACAACTTATCCAGTAAGCGAAATATCTACTTCGCTACAAATATCTTTGAAGTGTTCTAAATCGTGGCGCAAGTGCAAATCGGTACTCATTTTAGGCACACGATTTCCAATGTGAGCGGCAAACATACTGACAAAATTTCAGTCACAGTTTTCCAGCAAGTTCTCAAGTTAGCATGGTTATTTCTTTCAGAGATCCGCACGCAGGGTCGAGGCGCGCGTGGAGTAAGATCTTAAAACAGGAGGGTGAAATAAGCGGTAGGAACATATACCCAAAATTTCAGCCTAACTTCCCTGGTTGCTGAGATGAAAGTGGGTGGCAAAATTCACTCGCTTCTGAACACAAACACACACCCACAGACCTCTCGACAATAACGTTTTTGCTTGCATTTTGTCATCCACTTTCATTTCAGCAGCCAGGAAAGCTAAGAGGCTGGAATTTTGGGTATATGTTCCTGCTCCTTATATCATCCTCCCCCCTCCGCTACAGTGCTGAACAGAAAAAACGCATAAAAACACATATTGTCACAAGGTTGTCTGTGTGTGTATGTTGTGTCCGCAGCAACTTTAGGGGGACATTCCTCATCCACGTGTGACCCCGCAAACTCAAATTCAGCTTCCCTTACCCACGAATAACATGTCCGGCTCTGGTGAAAGTTTTGGCGAGTAAATTATTATCTCGGGAACCACGGGATCTAGGAAGACAAAATTTTACGGTAATGCCCCCGGCACACGTGCGACCCAGAAAGTTTAAATTCAGGCTTCCCGTGCCCATGGGTAACATATACGGCCTCGTGAAACTTTCGGTGGGTAAATTATTATCTCGGGAACCACGGGATGTAGGAAGATGAAATTTTATGGATATTTTCCCTGCCCACATACGACCTCTTAAGTTTAAATTCAGACTTCTCGTGCCTACGGGTACCGCCCGTGCGGCCCCGAGAAACTTTTGGTAGGAAAATTGTTATCTCGTGAACTGCACAAGTTAGAAAGCTGAATTTTTAGCGTGGTATTCCTGCCCACATACGACTCCA